TGAGAAGGAGTGTGAGCACCGAGGTGCCGGGATTGGTGAGTCACCCGGTGGGAGGCAGGAAGGCTTGGAACTCTGGGCACGTGGCCTGCGAAGCGAGCCTGGTAGAGAGTGACCGTGGCCGGGACAAGTGTCTGGGGTCAGAGGGCCGGTGGAGGGCAGGAGCCGGGGGAGGAGGCCCTCCCTGCAGTCACAGCACCATCCAAGAGGGAGAGGCTGGGAGGTGGGGTGGGGAGAGCAGGGGAAGCGGGCGTCTGCTGCTGCTGGTTTCCCAAGGCTCCTGATCCAACCTAAGCATCATTACCCCAACAAAAGCAACAACCGACACAGTAAAAAGGTTCCAAATATAAACAGTGCTCATCCCCATCAACATGTTAACTGGGGCTCATTAACTGCGGCCCGAGGAGGCAGTAGCGGCTGGGAGGAGGTCTCCTGCCCCTGGCGACTCCAGTGTGCTCCATCCCCCGGGACCCCGGGCTGCCCCGATGCCTGCATAGCCCCTCCGTTTGGGCCTTACTGTCTGGTGGCTTGGTTTCTGTCTGTTCTGGGGTGTGATGTGTGCGTGCCTAACGCCGCCACAGCAGGAAACCCATAGGAACGGTGTGCTCACGGAAGCCACTCCTGGGTCACGGCAGGGCCTGTCACCCAAGCCCCTTGCCAAGCTCATGTCACCAGACATGGGCAAAATCTATTTGGAGGAGAAAATGGGATGCAGTGGTTTCCTGCCCGACCCATTTAAATGCTAGCTGTGAGATTAGCTCCACTTAAAGCAAAACAAAACAAGAAATCGATGTGGCCTGGATTGGCTGCCTTTTAATTATTAGTACAATTATTTGCACCTCTAAGCCTGTGATGACCAAAGACACCTTCCAAAGGGTTTTGGACAGGCTGGAAGTACCGGTAATCACCGCTTTATAGGGCCACCAAGAGATGCTGACCAGAGAGCTCTCAGGTCAAGGAGAGAATTTTGCCAGATCCCTTCTACCATGCTCAGTGGGTGCCGCCCCCTCCCCAGCTCTGCCAACTCGCAGCAGACCCCTCTGTGGAGAACCACCTTTCTTGGTGACCAGCAGGGTGACAGGAGGTGCAAAGGGCTGGCCCCAGGGTAGGACTGGCACTGGTGGTCCCGCGGGACCAGGCTGAGGCTGGCCTTCTGCCAAGACCACAGCTCTCTCAGCCGCATGTGGCTCCCTCTCTCTTGCTTTTCCTCCTGGGAACCCTCCCTCAGAATCCCACCCTCCACCAAACGGTGGGGGAGTGCCCACCTCGGGCGCTCCTGCTGGGGCACCCCACTGAGGGCCCCTCAGGGACCTCTCTTAGTTTCCAAGCTGCATGTGGGTGGTTTCCCCCTCCAGACAACGGGCGGATGGAGTCCTAAGGAAAAGGGTTGCTAGCAACAGTCATGATCTCCGTGATTAACCATGGTGACACCGCGACTTGCAGTTTAGGGCTTACTGGGAAGGGCACAGAGGTCAGCGGCGACCAGAGCAGGGCCCTGCGAGGTCAGCCGCTCCCGGCTTGCCCTGCCTGCCGCCTGCGCCTGGGCTGTGACCGTGTGGCGGCAGCTGCTTTGTTCTCCCACCTCAGGGCCGTTTCTTTTCTTATTAATAAAAGATTGAAGTCAGCATGATTTGAACAGCGCGATCCAGAAAGATGCATTTATATTTATTTATTTATTTAAATTGAAGTATAGTTGATTTACAGTGTTGTGTTAGTCTCTTGTGCACAGCATGGTGATTCAGTTATACACACACATACATACATATATATTCTTTTTCACTATAGGTTATTACAAGATATTGAATACAGTTCTCTGTGCTGTATAGCAGGAACTCGTTTATCTATTTTATATACAGTAGTTAGTATCTGCAAATCTCAAACTCCCAGTTTATCCCTCCCCACCCCCTTTGCCCCCAGTAACCGTAAGTTTGTCTTCTATGCCTGTGGGACTGTTTCTGTTTTGTAAATAAGTTTATTTGCATCATTTTTTTAGATTCCACATGTAAGTGATATCATATGGTATTTTTCTCTCTTTCTGGCTTACTTCACTTAGTATGATAATCTCTAGGTCCATCCATGTTGCTGCAAATGGCATTGTTCATTTTTTATGGCTGAGTAGATATGGGTGTGTGTGTGTGTGTCTGTGTACACACCACATCTTTATCCAGTCATCTGTTGATGGGCATTTAGGTTGCTTCCATGTCTTGGCTATTGTAAATAGTGCTGCTGTGAACATTGGGGTACAGGTGTCTTTTTGAAGTAGGGTTCCTTCTGGATATATGCCCAGGAGTGGGATTTCTGGATCGTAGGGTAAGTCTGATTTTAGTCTTTTGAGGAATCTCCATACTGTTTTCCACAGCGGCTGCACCAAACTGCACTCCCACCAGCAGTGGAGGAGGGTTCCCTTTTCTCCACAGCCTCTCCAGCATTTATTATTTGTGGACTTATTAATCATGGCCATTCTGACCAGTGTGAGGTGATAATCTCATTGTAGTTTTGATTTGCATTTCTCAGATATTTAGCGATATTGAACATTTTGTCATGTACCTATTGGCCACCTGTATGTCTTCATTGGAGAAATGTCTGTTTAGGTCTTCTGCCCATTTTTTTTTAATTGGGTTGTTTGTTTGTTATTGAATTATATGAGCTGTTTGTATATGCTGGAAATTAAGAAATTGGAAATTGTCAGTAGCATCTTTGGCAAATATTTTCTTTCATTCTGGGGATTGTCTTTTCGTTTTGTTTATAGTTTCCTTTGCTATGCAAAAGCTTATAAGTTTAGTTAGGTCCCATTTATTTATTTTTGCTTTTATTTCTATTGCCTTGGTAGACTGCCCTAGGAGAACACTGCAGTGATTTATGTCAGAGAATATTTTGCCTATGTCCTCATCTAGGAAATTTGTGGTGCCTTTTCTTATGTTTAAGTCTTTAAGCCATTTTGAGTCTATTTTTGTGTATGCTGTGAGGGAGTGTTGTAATTTCATTGACTTATGTGTGGCTGTCCAGTTTTCCCAGCACCACTTGCTGAAGAGACTGTCTTTTCTCCATTGTATATTCTTGCCACCTTTGGGGGAGATTAATTGACTATAGGTGTGTGGGTTTATTTCTGGGGTTTTTATTCTGTTCCATTGATCCATGTGTCTGTTTTTGTGAGAATACCACACTATTTTGATTACTGTAACTTTGTAGTATTGTCTGAAGTCTGGGAGGTTGTGCCTCCAGCTTCATTCTTTTTCTTCAGTATTACTCTGGCAATTCTGGGTCTTTTGTAATTCCATATAAATTTTAGGATTATTTGTTCTTGTTCTGTGAAGAATGTCCTGGGTAATTTGATAAAGATCACATTAAATCTGTAGATTGCTTTGGGTAATACAGCCATTTTAACAATATTAATTCTTCCAATCTAAGAGCATGGAATATCTTTCTATTTCTTTAAATCACTCAGAAGGATGTATTTAAATTTGATACACAGATGAATTTTTTTGGGGGGGGAGGAAATTCACCTAACATAAAATTCACCATTTTAAGGTGAACAATTTAGTGGCTTTTAGTACAGTCACAATGTTGTGCAACCAGCTCCTTTATTTCCAAAGCATTTTCATCACCCCAAAAGGAAACCCCATCCCCATCAGCAGTCACTCCCCACTCCTGCTTCCTCTCAGCCCCTGACAACCTCTAATTTATTTTCTGTCTCTGTGTATTTATGTATTCATATAAGTGAAATAACGATACAATATGTGGTCTTTTGTGATTGGCCTCTTTCACTTAGCATGATGTTTTCAGGGTTCTTCCACATTGTAGCAGGTGTCAGTGCTTTATTCCTTTTATGGGCTGTATAATATTCCAGTGCATAGATGGACCACATTTTGTTTACCCATTCACCCACTGATAGACATCTGGGTTTTTTCTACCTTTGGGCTGTTGTATACAGTGCTGCTGTGAACATGTGTACCTTTATTTGTCTGAATATCTGTTTTCAATTCTTCTGACTATATACGTTGGAGTGGCATCCTGGGTCATATGTCATTTTATGATTAACTATTTGAGGAACCACCTCAAGCTGTTTCCCACAGTGACTGCGCCATTTTACATCCCCACCAGCAATTCTTGAGGGTTCCAGTTTCTCCATGTTCTCTCCAACACTTTTTCTCTCTCCCTCCCTTCCTGCAGTCCCAGTGGGCACAATCGTGTCTCACTGTGTTTGGATCTGCATCGCCCTTTCCACAGGCTTCTTGGCCCTTCACATGTTTTCCCAGGAACCATCCTTGCTCCCTGTTTCCACTTCTCTCTTTGTGCTTCCTTCCCTCACTCCTGACCCCCTTGAGCCTTTCCTTGAGCCCACTGGCCCTGAGTGCCCCCTGTGCCCGTGGGCTCAGCCTCGAGTGACTTACACACGTTTTAGGAGGTGGTGTCTTCCTGCTGCATCCAGCTCCAGGTCAGATGTCCCCACTCCCACTCCTCCTGTCACAGGGCTGAGGGTGGGGCTTCGATAAGGCTTCCCCAGAAGCAGACCTGTGATGAGGACGTGAGTGCCGCTGGTTTGCCTGAGGGCACAAAGCACATCAGCAGGGGTGAGAGGAGGAGGGGCATCACCAGGCCAGCTGCCGGGGTTGCACTTGTGTCTCGGGGTTATTCCCCCAGGGGGACGGGGGCTGGGGTCTCTTGAGGGCTGCTCCCTGGGAGCTGACTTGGGGAGGATGGGGTCACAGTGTCTCTATGGGCCAGAGAAGGCCCTCAGGCAAAGAAACACAGGAGTTGGCATTTAGAAGTTGGGCTAGCGTGCCCAGAAGCTGCGGGGTGCAGGGACGGGGCGTGGAGGGTGTCCGCCATGGGGGGAAGCAGATTTCAGGGAAAGTGATGTGAGTGGACCTTCAAACAAGATGTGTTCAAACCTAGTGTGGCCACCACTTTCCCGGCCCTGCCCCCCATGGCCCAGGGCTTTCAGTCCAAGTCCTGCCCCTGTTGGGAGCCAGTAAGAACCAGATATGGCTTCTACTGGGAGCGACACCCCCCAGCAGGTGGGGCCTCTCGTTCCTTCTTTGCCTTAAGCCTCACATGATGGGGTGTCATGGCCAGGAAGGGCTTGACCCACGAGAAGTTGGCCACAGCTCTCCCGGGTCATCCATATGCCTTGGATGGTGGCTCATGACACAGCACCTGGCTTCTGAGGACACCCATTTCACCCCTTGCAAAGGACATACTCCAGCATGTAAGTGTCCTTGGAAACGACTCTCCGGATGCCACCAAGACAGAAGCAATTTCCAGGCACTCAATGAGACTGGTCCAGCTGCCTCAACCAGGAAATGTTTTCATTTGTGTCTGCTTTATTCCCAAGGGAGCACAGCTCTGAGGCTGGCCAGGAGACAGGAGCCTGTTGGCCTGGGCTGGCTCTTTGTCCCCCATGTCCCCGGAGGATGCCCACTCATCCCACTGCTGTGGCCCGCTCTCCCTCCCACTGGGCTGAGGAGGCAGTGAACACTGCTGGGCAGCTGGGGCCATAGTGGAGATTTGGAGAGAGAAGTACCTTCCCTTCCACCACTCTCTTCCTGCCAGGAGGGCCTCCAGGAGCCGACGGCTCCAGCCCCTGTGATAGATGAGCATCCAGGAGCCCTGGTCTCTTCCACACAGGAGGAGGGATACAGAAGCGCCATGGAAGGTGCTTTGCAGAAAAGCACGAAGGCCTGGGACAGGGCCTCGCCTCTCCTACTGCTGACGCTTTTCAGTCGGCGCGCTGACATGAGGGTTGCGTGTGTACCCGTGTGCATGTGAATGTCCCAGAGCTCCAGGGGCCAAAGCGGTGCTGCAGGCTGGGCACCCGTGGGTCCTGGCAGCCGGGGCAGGGGTGCGGGGGGCAGCCTGGCCGGGCAGCGCGCTTGCGACCGCCGGCTCCCTCTCAGTCCACAGCCCCAGCTTCCGCGCTCCTCACTGCTGGTTATGCGTCAGGAGCCTCCCAGGGATTTCGGTTTGCAGAGCTGGCTGGACACGTTACAGAGCAAGTGGCCGGTGGTGGCGAGCCCCGACTGTGACCTTCCCCCTGGGAGGGGCACAGCTCCATTTTGAAGCTGTGTTGAGCTGAGAGTGGCCTTTTCTCCCACCCCCAAGGAAAGACTGAGATTCCTAAATATATCCTGGTAAAAGGGGCCAGCTGCCTCTTTTTTGTTCTTTTCAGTTGGGGAGGTAATCAGGCCAGTTTATTTATTTATTTATTACTGGAGGTACTGGGGATTGAACCCAGGACCTCGCGCATGGATGCTAGGCACGGACTCTGCCACTGAGCTATCCATCCCTCCTGCCTCTTTATTCCTAACAGGCAAGTCTCAGAGGAGCAGGCTAACCAGGGGCCCTGTGGATGGGAGGCTGTGGGGGAGGGTGTGGTCACCACTGTCTTGGGGTTGGCAGACGGCCTCTGCCCCACCGACCTAACCCTATGGATTTCCCTCAGTCTGCGTCCTGTGAGATCTGCACAGGGCTCAGTACAGCTGCAGCCCTGCGAGTGAACGTAGGGGAGCAGGAGGCAGAGAACTCACGGGCCGGCCTTGCAGTCCACAGGAGAAGCCACCCTCTGGCCTCAAAGACAGGATGTGCTGAGCAAGAGTCAGCCAGGCTCGGGTCACTGGAACTCAGTGGACTGGAGGTGGGTGTGATTAATAATTCACTTGGGCAAGGGCATCAAGGCGGGGACCTTGTCCAGCGTCTCCAACAGTTGCCACTGGAGGGCTCCTTGCGATTCGGCTTTGACCTTCTGTCCACTCAGCCCTGGGCAGCCAATGAATGTTTGTTGAATGACTGAGTGAATTTCTGGCGAGGCTGTCCCCTCCCCCATGACTGTCATGGCCCCATTTGCATCTTGTCACCACTTGAGCTTCTGCCTTGGCCTAGGACCTCTGTGTGTATATTTCCACCCTTTGAAATCCTCCTGTACATCCTTTGAAATGAACCTCCTCCAGGAAGCCTTCTGTGCACCTTCAGCCAGAAGTGGTCCTTCCCTCCCTGAACTGGAACTTGCTGCTGTCCGCTAGCCTTCCAGCAGTGAGGGACACCAGCCTCGAGCTTAGACCCACTCCTTGGTTAATGCATTCCCCAGGCAGCCAGATGCAAGCGTTTATTCCAATGATTAGTTCAAGGCAAGTGTAAGGGGATGACCCTGTGGTCCTGGGCAGCACCCACTGGTGGAGCCAGGGCCCAGCCCCTTTTCAGCCTCGCCAGGGACATGCCTGCAGCCCCAGGTCCTGATAAGGACGCTGACATTCAGCCGATGGTGTGGGGTCTGCAGGCTTCCCGGCTTTCTCCTTGGGCCCGCCCCCACTGGGACCCTCGACCTAAGCCCATCCCTCCCCTGACAAGTCCCATCAGGAGTGAAGAACTGCTTTCCCAGGGCCCTTTCCAACTGGGAAGGTGCCGTCTCCAACATGCACCTGCCTGGACAGTTGTCCCGGCTGAGCGCAGGTAGGCCCATGTGCTTCACACCTGCAAGTCTGGAGATGAGCTTCCCTGGGCATGGGGACCTGGGTCAGGGAGAGGATGCGGGGGGTGCGGGGTTGGCAGAACAGTGGAGTGCCCCTCCTCCAAGACTCAGTGACAGTGCAGGAGTGAAAGCAGCGTTGGAACAAAGGGGAGAGTCGGTCTTGTGACATCTGCCAACCAGAAGAGTGAGTCGGGAGGAGGTGGAAGGGATGCGTCCTGGAGGACCGGGGCGTCGGCCGCTCAGCGTGCAGGTGCCGCTCCCTGTGCGCAGGTGGGGGCTTAGTGACCCAGAGGCGTGTCCCTCCCACGTGATGGCTGCTTCTCTTTCTCTCTCTGTAAGTGGGAGCTGTTGGCAGTCGTAGCTGTGGCCGGCCGTCCCTGGCCTCATCTGGGGTTTCCTTTTGAGGGGAAAATGGATTTTGAACGTCTCTCTGTTTCTGTGCCTCAGGTGGCAGTAACGCCACCAGGTCGACATTTTGGAGCTAAGTCTCAAATCTGACCTAATCTCTCTTTTTTTCCTTTGTGCATCTGATGCTGGGTCTTTGCCTGCTGCCAACCCCCTAAAGGTGGGGTGCTTTCCATGTGGTCTGGACCCCCGAGGGCTGGTAGGACCTTTGGGTGTCTCATCAGGGTTTCCCCGCCTCTGCCCTTGTCTCCGCCCAGCCACGCTCCTGTTGCTGCTGTGATGAACTTCCCTCCCGCAGCAGGGATGGGGCAGAGCCCGCGCGGGCGTGGTCGTGTGAACAGGCTCGGAAATGAGCCACGCGGTGAGGGCGTTCTCCAGCGGGGCAGAGGCCTCCCTCTGGAACCGATGCCCGGATCCCAGTTAACCAGGACAGACGTGCCCGAACCTTCCCCGTGCCTTCTCTGATCCTGGCTGGGGCGTTTCTAAGGCGAATGTTGGGGCTTCTCAAGTTGCAAGCCCCGCTTGTCAGGACCTGCCTTCCCCTGTAGCCAGCATCGTTTCCCCGACCCTGAGCCTTTCTGGATTTTAGGTTTCGTGCCTCTGTTCTCTCCCTGGCTTTGTGCTCAGCGCAGGGCTCTAAGGGACTCTTGTATTGTTCTGCGTAAATTCAGACTTAAAAAGATACACTGGGAATGATTAACCAGTGTCGTCGAATCATTTTTCTCCCCACCAAGATTTGCTGCACAGTTAACTTCTAATAGGTTAACTTCAAATGCAATTTACTCAGAGCTCTGTCCACATGCAGCGACTCAACCTTTCTTTTTGGTTGAGAGTCGGGGGAGGTGCGTGCATCCTTTACTGGGAGCACATTACATGTGACTGGCATTCTGTTTTCAGAATAAAACCAGAGCTGCATTCACGTGGTGGGAGATACGGGTAAAGCGGAGAAGAGTAAGAAGAGGGTGTCAAGGGGCAGGAAATGCTTGCAAAGTCTGCTCTCGGGGAGGAAGACCCACCACTCTTGTATCTCAGGCGACCTTGGGAGGTCTGAGCCCCCCACAAAGGCCTGGGGGAGGGGACGACGGCCTCCGCCCAGGATGACTTCATTGTGAAGACAGAAACTAATTCCTCTCGAAGTGGGAAAGGCTCTTACGCTGCATTAAGAGGTTGAAATCTGATGAAAAGGAGAATATATTCAATCTTTCTTGCTTCAGTCACCTGGGACTTCATCAGACTCAAACCGATTAGAAAAATTCACATTGAAAGCATCGTTTATAATAGAGCAAAATTATGGAAAACATTTAGCCTGGAGGGAGGGAGAAATAGCATTTCCACCTAAGCCATAATCTTTCATTATCTCCCCTTCCTCCTTTATGGGGTTTGACAGCCCTGTCTCCACCCCAAGACTAATCATTAGACTAATTAGGGGCTAATCAATGTTTAATTAAAACCTAGCCATTAATTACAGGAAGAGCTACAGCAACTTGGGAATAAAACGCGCTGCAGGAGGGGTCAGGTCTCCTCAAGTGTGGCCGGCGACGCAGGCAGAGGGCTTTCCTTCTTGCAGTTGTATTTCCTCCTTTGCACTTTGGCTTGGGGGGACCTGCAGGTCGGAGTTGGGGGGAGAGAGGAGTGGGGAGGAGGATGGACTGCTCGGAGCGTCTTGACTTCCGGCCTGTTGCCCAGTGTTCCCACCCACTCCGCGGGAACCTTCCCCGTACTTCTTCGTTTCCCACATCCGAAATTTAATCCATCCTTCCTCTGAAAATCTTTTGTTGGGCATCTGCGTACTTGCATTTAGACTAACACCCAAACCTCTAACCATGAACTGCAAGGTCACACGGATTGGTGGTTCTCAACCCTGGCTGCATCACCAAGAGAAGTTAAAAAAAAAAGTCTAATAGCAGGGTAGACAAACAGACCAATGACATGGCAGGGGGCCCAGAAATAGGCCCAGCGCATATGGGCATGTGCTATAGGACAACGGGGCCACTGTGGGGGAGGGGACGCGGATGCGCTTTGTCGTAAGTAGCGCTGGGTTGGTTGGAGAGCCGCTGCGGAACAAAACAGGAAGCTTGACTCCTACCTCACGCCGAACATGAAAGCCAATTCCACCTTCCAGAAGATAACAGAAGAATATCTGGACCAGCGTCGTGACACAAAGGGTGCAAACTGTAAAGGAAAAGATGGACACATTGGGTTGTATTAAAATTGAGGGCTTCCGTTCATCAAAGACACTCTCATTACGAGAGTGGAAAGGCAAGCAGGAGGGGGAGAAGACATTTGCAAAATATTTGACCAAAAAAGGGTTCATAGAAAACTGGGAGAGAGACTCAAATGAGCACTTCGCAGGCTTATTGTTTGCAGGGAAATGCAAACAGAGACGCGGCTATAAACCCACCTGAACGGCCGAAATGAACAGATCGGCCACCCGCGAGCTGGTGAAGACCTGGAACAGTGGGAGCATCAGTACACGACTGGTAGGAGTGAACACCGAACAAGCACTCTGACAAACGTCAGCAGCATCTGCTAAAGCAGAACACATGCCCGCCCAGGGCCCTGCACACGGCGCCCGGCACAGGGAGGGGCTCAGCCCCAGGAGGACCCTGAAGCCAGGACTCTGTTCTCAGGGGAGGAGGGCTGTGAAGGAGAGGGCCTGGATCTGGGGTCCCAGCTCTGCATGAGCAACAGGTTGGCCTTCCTGAGCTGCGGCTTCCCCACCTGTGCACGTGACATCTGCGGGGTCTGCAGGAAGGACTACATGCGATCATGCTCGCAAACCGCCCAGCTCGTTGCAGGGCGGGTAGTAATCGCTTTTATCTCTCTAGGAGTTTACGACCAGAGAGGGGGACATGAACGCATGTGCCGAGGGTCAGGGAACAGGCACAGGGGAATCAAAGGCTGAGCCAGGAATAACCAGCCAGCGTCGGCATTCAGTGGCGAGCGTCACATTTTCATTTGGGGGTGGGCTCATCGCCAGGTGGGATCTGGAGAGGTGCCAGGCCCTTTGTGTCCACACCAGGTGGCAGTGACATGACATTCCCTGTTCGGGGAGGCAAGCCAGCTTCAGATACACCTTGAAATCGTGCTAAGGCAGCCTTCGCACCCTAAGGTCCTCCGCCAGCCCCCCTTTCATGTTCCACTGCTTCTGCCCCTTGAAGCTCCATCTTCCTCTACCGGCGCCTGGTCCAGCCTCACCTGTCTGCAGACTCACCCGGGTTACAGTGCTGGATTTCACTTCTCCCGGGACACCTGTGTTTTTAGAAATGACTTCTGGAGACTGGAGAGCCTTCCACATCGAATGAAGGCCTCTAGGTGTGCGGTGACAAGGGGCACGCTTGGGGTTTTGTCCTGTCTGTCTACCCCCCAGTCCCATGAGCAGTGAGAGGCAGGAGGGAACCAGCACGCCCCTCGCCCCAGGCAGCACCGAGGGGCCACCGGCGTCTCCACACTGTGCCGGGACGGGAGGGAAGGACCAGGAGTCGGGACTGCACCTGTCCAGGTAGAACAGGCATGTCGAGTGGGCCGTGGAGGGCTTCCAGTCCAGGGGACCCCAAGCTTTTTGTGCCAAAGAGCCTTTGGCATCCGGTGAAGCCAGTGAACCCCTTCTCAGAACGATGGTCTTAAATGCAGAAAAGAAATTTCCCAGGGTTATGGTATTGAAATATAATTATCAATGTAATTACAAATGAGATCATTGCTTCTTATTTATTGAAGAGAAACCCACATAACATATAATGAACCCCTTTAAAGCGTACGACTCA